CGGAGGGAAAGGGCGGAGCGCGGGACAAGGGAGCACCCTGGGCGTTGGTCACATTCGGACATACTAATTGGTTCTGCTCCAGATACCGTGCCAGATCTTGCCCCCCCCCCCCTCCGCCCACCCTCCGTTGGTGTCCGTCCCCCGACATGGTTGCCAATTTCCGAACCAGAGCAACAATGGCGCCCACTGCTCCGCGTTGCGGAAGGGGGACGGTGGGAAGGGGGGAGGTCGGAGGTTATAAGTGTCAACGGCTGCGGGTTCATTCAAGCAACCGCTGATATTATGGCTGCGCAGGTGAGATCAGTAAAGCAGCTTTACGGTGACTGACAGCGCGGATAATGCGACATGCTGGCTCACCTCCGTCTGATCACCTCGACCACCATCTACTGCGGCACTGCGACGTCCAGACCACACCGAGTGCAGCAATGGAACCCCCACCACAACGCAATCACCGACGTGACCCGATCCAACACGGCGTCTGTTCTCGGGCGTGAGTCGATCCAAACACTGCGTCTGTTCTTGAGCGTGAGTCGATCCAACACTGCGTCTGTTCTTGAGCGTGAGTCGATCCAACAACGGCGTCTGTTCTCGAGCGTCAGTCGATCACAACACAGCTTCTGTTCTCGGGCGTCAGTGGCCTGTCCGACGCCAGCCCCGCTGACAACAAACGGAGGTCTCTCACAGAGGAGCAGCGGTGCTGTCCGAGAGCAGCAGCAGCCCGGTCCCGTGACAACGGCGGTGGCCGGGCCCAGCGTGCGGCCGCAGTTCCGCCCTAGCCGCCGAGAATACCAAGCAGGCGCGACCGACCGCCGCCTGGTCGTTCACTGATTCCATTTCACACTTGAGAGAGCTGGCGGCGCGAGATGACCCTGCCCAACGGCGCCTGCGGGCGCGAGGCGGGGCCGACTACGGGACGCGTGCGGAGGCTCGGTCACGAAGGCACGGCCCTAGGGGCACCGCGCCGGAGGGCGGAGGGCGCACCGAGCTGACCAGACCCGCCAGCTGCCCACCCGCCGTCTACATCTACCCGTGCCGGAGGGCGGAGGGCGCATCGAGCTGACCAGACCCGCCAGCTGCCCACCCGCCGTCTACATCTACCCGTGCGGCGGACGCCGGCCGAGCCGTGGGCGACGCCCCGAGCTGCGCGCTCCGCGATGGGGACGTGCCAGCTGGGCGCTTTTTGTTGTTTATTGGGATTTCGCGCGCGTCGACGGCGGTGGTCATTTGGCGCCCATTTCTCCGGGGCAGGCTCAAGCAGTCCCGCAACGGTGACCTCTTCCATGATACGTTCTTCTTTTTTTTGTTGAAGTTTTGACCAAACATACGGCAGGGGTGGATTTGGTATCGGGGTCCTGATCAACCATACAACTAGATGTAATTTCTGGTAGACTTATTTTCAATGACGCACAAATGTTGCAGTACGTTATAAACGCACTGATCTCCGTCATAAGCACTCGTCTCAACAGATTCAAAACAGAGTACTTCCCGTCGAAATCAGTAGCAGCTCAGCAAGACCCCACGAGGCCTTGGCCTTAGCGGGGCCCGTAACGCAAGCACAAAGAAGATGGATGTAATCTACCATTCTAAGTTTCAGTAAATAAACAGATTGACAGTTGTTGGCATCCACGATTGCGATGGCTCAGAGCTCCCCGCTGGAACGGCTTGTGGCGCGGGTATCAGTATCAGTGACTTTCTTGTGAGCGTTGAACTTCGCCAGCTTTCGAAAAACCGCAAAACAGTGGTTGATGGCTGATGGCCGGAATATCGGCTTTGATGTGGAATGCTGCCGGATTTGAAAAACGCGTTACGACTGTGACGACTATTGACATTCACAGCACATCTGGTAAGCTTACCGCCCGCCAGCATAGGGGCGCATCTGGCAACCTGTTTGTTTGCCTGGCGGAAAATCTGGCGACTTATTCGGGGGGTCACGCCTGCGCGGGTTAATCAAACTCCGAAGCCCGTCGGTGGCCCCAATGGTGGGCTCATCGGCAGGCAGCGCTGAACACCAAATCAGCCCACTGCCGACGGCAGCGAGTGTGAGGAGCAGAGGTGTTCGTGTGACGAGGGATTGCTCACAGCCACAGAATAGTCGCCAGCCAGTCGGCAGTCAGGCAGTGTACACACCCCCGGGCTGCCATACTGTAATCCCTCCCCGGCAGCGAGACCGAACCAGACATGCAAGCGACGCTCCACTTCACCGCAAATCTCAGACTACGTCGTAGTAGCACCGGAGAAAGCCGTCCAAATCGACGTCGGCCGCACGCGAGCGCTCGTCTGCTGGCCGCCGAGCGAGCGGCGCCGCGTTCAGAGGTTTGTTTCTTTATCGGCGCACTGAGCAGGCAGCACGAGTTAGGAGCGCGGCGCCGCCGGTGGGCAGTATCATTAGACACGGACATTAAGCGGGCGGCACGAGCCGCTGCCGGCGCGCGGCTGGCGGGCCCGGCTGAATATAGCGGCCGCCCGGCTGGTCAGTCGGCGTCGGCGGGACGCCACCGAGCGAAGTTAGCCGATCGCAGGGAATGTTGCGACTCGGCGCCGGCAGAGCGGCGGACTGCAGCCCGGACTCCCTCTTGGGGCACCGTCGGCTGGCGCCGCCCCGTCGCAGCGCCGGCTGCCCGGGCCGCACGCTGCAGCTGGAGCTGGAGCTGGAGCTGGAGCTGGAACCGCGCTGGGCCGGCCAAATCGCCGGCGTAAGAAACCCTTTGTGTGCTACACACCACCAAAAGAATAAGCTGGTTTTGTGCAAGATCTCGTCAAAACTCGGACGGTCTCATATTCAAACTGATGCGCTGGGACAGTTGGAAGGCGGCCATTAAACTATGCGTGCTTGATCGATCTCGAGTGGAAGGTGTTTCTGCGCTGCAGGGCAATGTGCAGCAGTGCGCTGCTGGTGTCGTATTTCAACCGAAGTTGCCGTAGGCTGCGCCCTTAAATCTAGTTTTACAACACGCACACACACACACACACACACACACACATATATATATATATATATATATATATATATATATATATATTCTAAGTATATGTCTATATCACACTTTGTCTAAGACGTACTGAAGCGTAGCCACTGATCGTCATGTATTCCGTTATTATCTCCACGATCCGGAAACTCGACCACACGTTGGATCCTGCATAGCATGAACTAGCTCATTGTCGGAGCGTTACGTGCTAATGCCATGTCCGAACAGTGCCTAATATACTCAGCGGACATGCACAGGACATTGTGTGATAATATAATGTCCTGTGCATGTCCTAAGTTAAAGTAGGCCAAGTTTCCAGGTGGGATCGCAATGATCCAACCGTCGGAAGCTGCTTTGCTGTGTTTTCCTAGAAAATTAAACTAAATTAAGGAGCAGCTACTGTGAAATATTTGAAATGGTGCTATTTTGCAACACCGAGTGCCGTTATCCATTAAAAAGGCATCACTTGCTGTGCCAAGTGGGATCGACTGTAATCCCAAGACAAGACACTATCCCCCGTAGCGCCGTCACTTCCAGTCCGGTACTTGAGAGCGTCAGCGCCGGTGTCCTCAGCGTCCAGCCCGGACAGCACGGCACTGGCCACCGAAGGTCTCACACCGGCCGGTGTCCTCAGCGTCCAGCCCGGACAGCACGGCACTGGCCACCGAAGGTCTCACACCGGCCGGTGTCCTCAGCGTCCAGTCCGGACCGCACGGCACTGGCCACCGAAGGTCTCACACCGGCCGGTGTCCTCAGCGTCCAGCCCGGGACAGCACGGCACTGGCCACCGAAGGTCTCACACCGGCCGGTGTCCTCAGCGCCTAGCCCGGACCGCACGGCACTGGCCACCGAAGGTCTCACACCGGCCGGTGTCCTCAGCGTCCAGTCCGGACAGCACGGCACTGGCCACCGAAGGTCTCACACCGGCCGGTGTCCTCAGCGTCCAGCCCGGACAGCACGGCACTGGCCACCACGGTTCTCACACCGGTGGCCCATGAGGGCAGCAGCCAAAAGAAGCCAGCTCGTGGCTGTGCCTTTGATTTCCAATGCGGCATGGCTTGCCACAAAGGTCGCTGGTTGGCTCTCCATCGCCGTTGATCTTCCCATAACAGACATATCCTGTTACTCGGCGTGCGTCGAGTCCGTCACCTCAGTCAACAGGACACCGATGTCGACGCGAGTCTTACGCGTCGGACCACGAAGCACTGAGGGACACGGCGCCCGGATCCGCGCGCGCGGTGTCGGTTTCGGCGCGTCAGTGACAATGTGTGTGCCATTGGCAATGATTACTTGCTAATGCTCAATAGAAAGCAGGTTATCGCGTTTCGTTCCTTACAAGGTTTCAAGTTTCTTCCGTGGGAATGGTACTTTTAATGTTTTACACGTGGGCATTCACTTTGAGCTGACATCCCGTGAAAAACTTGGTTTACAATAAAACAGGTTAATTCATTTACCGTTTCCGTGTCATGGTCTTAACTACCAGTGGACAGAGCATCCTTTAAATAGCACGATGTGTTGCCATGACGTCATGTGACCCACAAACTGAACTTCAGGAACATCAGGAATTCCTATCTCTGGTTTTCTGCATAGGAACCTTCATTTTCAATAAACAGTAGCTTAACAGACACCCGTGTACATCAAGCGTTGAGTGTTCCTTTTTTGTTTGTTTTTTTATATAATGTGAGGCGATGCACCGAAGATCTTGTTGACACTAAAAGCCCCAGATTTCAGGTTGGACTTGGACGGGGCAGCTGATAAGTTCTCTCGCGCATCAAGCCGAATGTCTCCTTTTGCATTTTGTCTGGCCAATAACTGGGAGCAGACCATCAGCATGTCGCGAAATTGTCATAAAGGTATGACATTTTACGAGGCAGCTTATAGTGTCAATGTTTGTGGCCCTGATGCGCTGCATGAATGGGTTTCATTCCAGACATCGCGAATGAGGATCATAGCTGCGCTTTATCGGCGATAACATACAAAACAACCGGCACAGGTGCAATAATGACGAGATCAGATATCCTCCCCAGGTCCTCACTACGACGGAGGAACTGTCTCGGGAGAGGACCTGCTCATAAGAGTACACCAAGACCCACGGAGTTCGAGACACGCCGCATGAAACGCGGAGCGATCCGCGTTGTGCCCGTCAGCTTTGATATTGCTCATCACCTGTCATCCAGATGGTTGCCTCGCAAGGGAGGGTATGGCTAGATTGTTCTAAACACCAGGACAGCCCCTGACGTACCCGCGCCCAAGCAATAAGTTCTCAGACTCTCACCTATAAGCCTCTTCAGACAGAGCCAACCCTCTGTAAGAAGAATGTGACGGCCGAGACAGCAGCATCTGAATCTTTCTACTTTTCATCTGATGGGCCAACTTCTTTCTTATGCTGTCAGACTTCATCGTACACACCTCATGCGCATTGGCGACTACACAGGCCCCGACCACAGCTCCGTAGGAGTTGGACCCGCCACCTATCGGTCCGTAAAAAAGCACAGCTTTGTTCTGCTCCGCCGCACTCGGCCCTCACAGGACGGACATCGTGTTTCGGCGACAATGTCGTGTGTCTGCTGCGGCACTGGCAAGCCTGAGCCACGTGCCAAGCCGAACGATGCAAGTGTACTCACCACTTTGCCGACCTGTGCAACCTTGTTTTTGGCGTTGAGGTGTTCAAACTTGTGCTTGCCCGATCCGTCTGGGTCCTGCATCAGAGGAGGCGACTCTCAGAGGCTGCCGCCAGCGGGCATTCGACCGTCGAGTCTGCCCGGTCTCACAGCACTCGCGAGCGCGCGCGGCGGCCCTGCGGGCGGTGCGAGCGGGCATTCGGCACGGTGGGGGAGTAGCTCCCGGCATGCCATTCGTGAGGCGGCCTGCGGAGGCCTGGTGCACTGGCGCCGCGCGGGCTCGCACACCTCGCTGAATGCCCGGCGGGCACCGAGCCGCTGCCGACAATTCGGGGTGCAGCCGCCGGGCAAGATCGGCCGGCGGCAGCCGAGACATGGCGGCTTCATTAACAGCCCTTCCAGCAAGACCAGAAGCTGCCACGTTTCTGATAAGCCAGGGGCTGCCGTGAGAGCGAACGTGCGTGCTCAGGCTCCTGGCAGCGCAGACGGCACTATCGGCATGCACCTACACATCACAAGCCTGCCGTCGCCTAGACAAATTGCAGTGAGATGTATGCAGTCCACAAAGTCTGGCGAGATGAGCTTACTTTTCCATATGGTCTCATTTCCGAAGGTGACACCTATTACTGACTTGAAACTGGCCATGTTTGGAAGGGCTTAACTCCCTTCCGAAACGATTCTGATTCTTGGCTGCGTGCGGGTTTTCGTCAGTCTCTTTTTCATCGACTGATCTCCACTGGCTACGTTGAATAATAGTAGGTGTCGCTCTTGGGCCTTGGATGGATGCGGCGGCACGGTGGATTGCAGACACCATGATCAGAATGTCAATCACACAACCAAAACAACTAAAACCTGCGGAGGAACAGGAGTGAGTATGATACTCCTGATGTCATCATTATGTATGACACGGGTCTAGCGATGAAATGTGTTGTGGAAACTGCGTTAATCAATTTGTATTTCAGGCAAGCTATCACAATCCGGTACAGCCTGTGACCCGAGTCAGGGACTGATCGCGGCATCGGAACGCTCAACTGCCCTCATGTCATGTCCCCCATGGTTTCACCGCATTGGACGCGGCGGTATGACCAACGAGTCCAAATCCCATTAGTCAGCTCCATGTTCAAATCCGCGCAGAGTGCCTCTCACTGGGCTGTACGGCGTACGCGGGCCCGTGCGGGGTCGCGACACTTATGACCAGCATACCTCTGCAGGCGCCAGATAATCATAGAATCATCGCCGAGCCGGCAGGGTCTGCCCCCCCCCCCCCCGAATCGCAGATTGGTAGCGTTCACTACACCTTCGCATCTGATCGCACCGCGTCCCCCTTACCTGCAGGCGGAGGGGGGGGGGGGGGCGGGCCATGTCCCTCGTCCGGCCGTTGTAGACGAGCCGCGTCCCGACATCACCTACAGCCGAGGGTCCCGGGCACAGTGCAGACCTGACCTCTCACCTTTAGCCGGGCCTCGGCCATGTTGCTGATGGACGGCGACTGTTTCTGGCCGAACAGGGTGCGGTATCGACTGAGGTCCGACTCGGAGGAGGCCGAGGCCTGCTGCACCCGCACGTGGTTCCGTGTCGCTGAAAAGCACGCCCCTTTCGTCAGCCAGCTGAACACGTTTAGCATTTGCCAGCTATGCACCGGATGCTGGGGCCTACACTTAGTTGCAAGGAAAAAATATTCGCTTTCCCAAACGATGTCACACCCCACCCCACTCCCTCCAAATAGCTAGAGGTGGGCTGGTTCTAAACAATTGTAGTATTCAATACAGCACCTATATTCGCGATCAAAAATGATTCCGTGCATTATGAAACGACTGACGTTACACCGAACCGAAATCATCTGCATTGATGTTCCAAAACAGCGCTGGGTGACCTGATGGCGCTTCGCAGTAAACAGTGGTGCAGTGCGACTGTGCATGCAGCAGGGGCTATGCTGAAACGGACGCATATCTGTTTGTGCACGAGTATATTTAACACAAGCGGCACGTTTAGCACACAAGACCAGCTATGCGTTACTCTGAATAAGTGCAAAGAGGTATCTGCATGAGGGGTTTAATGTGGAATGCACATCTTAAAAACAGATTTCCGCACATCTGAGAACTTCATGGATGCAATCCACAACACTTTATGTTCAGTTGAGGAACGTTCAATGTAAGCCACGGCCGGCAGAGAATGATGTGTGCCACGTTTCGCTCCTGTCTAACATGCTGCGCTGTTCTAAAACACAGCGCTGCTTACAATATGCGCATCAGTCCAGTGTGAGTGCATCCAATCCTGGATGATAGAAACTGCCGCACGTAGGTAGGCGCTGCCTGCCCAATGTTACGGTCTGATTTGGTGAAGCCCATATCGCTACAGCATTGTACAAGGCGGCTCGTTTTGGACGTCGGGAGGTGATGCTGGGATTTCGATCCGTTATAGTTGTCCAAATAAGTCTCCCTTGCTAGCCATGTCTCTGTACCTGGATATGAAAATATGCACTAACGCCTTTCGAAAATGACAAAAAGCGGATGTAATGTCACCGCGCAAGCTGATCACAACAAACGACGCCCGATCGTAAGAGACGACGCACGTAATCGCCCTGATGGGACTCGAAAACACGGCTCCGTCGTCCTTTGCTGTCAATCGCACGTAATTTTAACAAATTTGCGCATATTCTCCATGTGCATAATGCATGCATGTCATGTATCATACGAAACCCTCACACATGTGCCCCCGCACATGACTATCGCAAGCACAGTTTGACGCGAGGATGCAATGTTCATATGGGCGCATCTTCACCGTTAGCGCTCAGGGGTCCCGCTCGCACAGGCGGCAGCCGAGAGTCCGGCCCCGCCTCCAACACAAAGGTCAAGGTCGCCACCCAGTGGTCCTCCTCTCCCAGGCGACAGTTGAGAGTCTAGCCCCGCTTCCAACACAAAGGTCAAGGTCGCTGTCAAGTGGTCCCCGCTCTCCCGGGAGACAGCCGAGAGTCTAGCCCCGCCTCCGACACAAAGGTCAAGGTCGCTGCCCAGTGATCCCGCTCTCCCGGGCGACAGCTGAGAGTCTAGCCCCGCCTCCAACACGAAGGGCAAGGTCGCTGCCCAGTGATCCCGCTCTCCCGGGCGACAGCCGAGAGTCTAGCCTCGCCTCCAACACAAAGGTCAAGGTCGCCACCCAGTGGTCCTGCTCTCCCAGGCGACAGTTGAGAGTCTAGCCCTGCCTCCAACACAAAGGTCAAGGTCGCTGTCCAGTGGTCCTGCTCTCCCAGGCGACAGCCGAGAGTCTAGCCTCGCCTCCAACACAAAGGTCAAGGTCGCTGCCAACGAGTAGGATTCGATAGCAACTGTGAATCCTGCCTGCGCTGTACCACACGCGTCAGACTTCCACGTATCGTACAAAACTACGCTTCAAGGCTGAGTTAACCCTGGCCCCTAGACAATTTTTCATCTTCGCCCTGCAGGGACGCCTCACAGGTCACACCAGTATGTCGAAAACTAAGCAAATCAGAGCCGCGAAGAACGCAAAATAAAAAGCTCTCGTCAAACTTCACCAGACCGGCGCGAGTCAGCAACGATGAATTGACCTTTGGCATGTGACATCAGTCCAGAGGAGCAGAATATCACTTTATGGATTTACCCTGTAACCTCAAGAACTAGACGGGCTGCGACAATGTGGGAAACGGAGTTGAAAATCACTTAAAATCCAATCAGATACGCAACAGTGGAAATCCACTGATATAACAGATGAGGTATGTCATGTTAAGTCCAACAGGTGAAGACTGTTGTTGCATTGGCTCGTCCGGTAATATCAAGAACAATACAAAACACATAAATGGTGCAAACGGAATAAGAGAGACCTTTTAAAGCTCTGTGTTGCTGATGTTCAAATTGTGATCCCTTCAAAAGGCCAAATGTAGTCTCAAAGGTCAAGGTCAAGGTCGCTGCCCGTCTTAACCTTGGACGACCTGGCCTTTTAAGAGCAGCCAGAACGATAGTAATGCGCTTAGTGTCATACAGGTAAAAAGGCAGCCTAGAGTACCTCCTTCAAGTACATTCCTTGGGATACAGTAACGGGATTATCAACTCTAAGCAGTAACACCGACATGATGTAAAAAGTTACATATTATGAAACCTGAAGGTCAGAAACCTCACACTTTTATAGCATGTTAACAAGCGATGTGAACTCAGCTAACCAAAATTTACGTGCTGTGCTCGACACCATTCAGAAGTTATTAAAGAAATGTCCTAACGGAAGCCGCCGAGACCTCTGGATTTCTTTGCCTCCCCCCCCCCCCCCCCCCCCCACCTCGTAGGATGATAGTTAATGTTCTGTGGAATAAAACCAGTATTAAAAATAAAACTTAAAAAAGCAACTAAATCTCAACATTTTAAGAAATGTTCGAGTAAAAGAAAGTTATGCCAATGAGTGATGAAGAATGGTAAACTGCATCGTCAGAATAACTGAAGATGTTTCGAGGTATTTCAAAACATTTATCAGGTAGACTTTAGTAAAAACCTTACCAATGTTGCTAGTCACTCTGAAAGCATAAAACCAAAATGTGACAGTAAGGTAACGCGATAGTTTGGCAAAGTGCCACCCGGAACGGACGTATTAAACCCAGATGGCCATGTGTTTGTCCCGCATCCGTTCACGACCGACAGCAGCAGAGTTGAAAGGTAAGTGTTAAAGCACACAAGCGAAATCTGGTTAGAAAAATGCCTATGAGCACGTGCATCATGCATGCAACGTGCTTTTGTTATGCGCGTTGAAAAGAACGATGACTATAAATAACCCTTGGCGGGTTTTCAACTAGCATGCCTAAATGTAACAATCAACGCATCTCGGTCGATCAGGGAGTTCCGCTACGCTTCCGCCTCAACCCAGTCAGTACCCGAGGAAGGCAACCGGCTATATCTCTTCAGCATGCTGTTTTGCGGTGCATCAGTGAGGTGATTTGGGGAGGGAGGTTACGCCGCCGCGTCAGTGCGCGGGGCAGCGCCACCTTTACTGGCGCCGGGTGGCGGCACCACATGCGCCGGGTCAGGAGACAGCCTCGCCGGCCCGGTCAAAAGACCAGCCTCCGTTACGTCACTGATCGCCGCCCACTAGGGCATGGCGCTTGCCAGAGGCTTGCAGGTGGATGGACCGGGCAAACAGGCAGGTTCAGGTCCAGGTGCCTTGCTCAGAGGCTGAGTGGTCTCACCAACCGCAGCAGACGCTGCAGTTCCCCCGGCTGTCGGGGTCGCGTGCAGGGATGGGGGCCGGACCGGGTGCCACACCTCGCGTGTCGTGAAGACAGACCAGACGAAGGCTAGGTGCCAACCACTAGCTCAAGCCAACTAACATGCTGCTCGATTACCTTGGCAGAAATTGTCAACAGTATGCGATCGTGGGCGTTGAGCATCAGATACTATCTCAGAAGGGTACACTGAAACAGCGAGTACGGTGGCGACTCAGCCAAAGGCTACGTCTGGCTATCGACCGTAGAAGGGCACACTGAAACAGCACGCACATCGATGACTGAAATGACGTACACTTACAACTTGAGAAGAGTACACTCAAACAACACCCAGCAGTCGCACACGGACTCGACAGACCGCAGGCTACTCTATCGCATACAGCAGGGCGAACGCTGGCACATAACGAGCATACAACAGAAAGAAATGTAGCGTACAGCAAGGTACATCAGGCATCAATACGAATCAGTTAAGAACCCACTGCGGGAAAATCCGAGAAAAAGAGGGCTAAAATTTGTATGATACTGCAGTACATATTCTTATCTTAATATTAGCAGGAGCATTTCTTTTTGTTGCTCCGCTGAGTTTTTGGAAATGATGGTCATAAAATCATACGCATCAGGAATTTTTATCAGATGGGGTATAACTGAGTGGTCTAACAAACAAATCACGTAAAAAAGAGCACAAATTCAGATGGCATGCAACGAAAATGTTAAGTTCAAGAGTGTGCCATTTTGCTTAAGGTGACATGATACATTAATTCTTCAAAAGTTCCCTTCTCATTAACAGTCCTTCATAGTTCCCTACTCATTCTGGCTCGGTATGTTTGAAGACCAGACTTGGCCGCCGCATAAGACAAGAGACAAAGGTATTTTGAATACGATGCATACATTACGGTACTACAGGTTCGTAGCATCAAAGGCGCAAGTGCTTGATCGTGCCTACGTGATGCTTCGTCAACCATTCACATCCATTTACCAGAAGGCCTTTGTTCAGCTACACACATTCGTGTCCCAGTTTACAGCGCAGTATCGAAGCCAGACCCCAAACACGCTGCTTCCAGGCGGCGCATTCGTTAAACAACGACAGGGGCGTAGTCCCTTGCCTGATCAACTATGTATTTGTACCACTCGCATCCGCTTTCAGCTCTGGCACTACCTCCTCCGGCGTGGCTGTAGGCTGATGCAAAAGGCATTATTACGCAGTACCGAACTACACCGCAGCCTGTTCTATGAAGCTCAGTGCGCCTGGACAGGATACCTGCTGAGCTCTGGTGAACATCGTAAGCGCATGATCTTTGGCTGACACGACACAGCCGGTATCAGCAGTGAGCCCAGCCATCAGCTATCCCAGCCACAGGCTGCAGATCATCTGTATCGCAACTTTGGCTGACACGACACAGCCGGTATCAGCAGTGAGCCCTAGCTATCAGTTATCCCAGTCATAGGCTGCAGATCATCTGTATCGCAACTTTGGCTGACACGACACAGCCAGTATCAGCAGTGAGCCCAGCCATCAGCTATCCCAGCCATAGGCTGCAGATCATCTGTATCGCAACTTTGGCTGACACGACACAGCAGGTATCAGCAGTGAGCCCAGCTATCAGTTATCCCAGCCACAGGCTGCAGATCATCCGCACTCGCAAGTTTGGCTGACACGACACAGCCGGTATCAGCAGTGAGCCCAGCTATCAGTTATCCCAGTCATAGGCTGCAGATCATCTGTATCGCAACTTTGGCTGACACGACACAGCCGGTATCAGCAGTGAGCCCAGCTATCAGTTATCCCAGTCATAGGCTGCAGATCATCTGTATCGCAAGTTTGGCTGACACGACACAGCCGGTATCAGCAGTGAGCCCAGCTATCAGTTATCCCAGCCACAGGCTGCAGACCATCCGCATCGAAACTTTCCGGCTTTGTCTTGGTACCGACCGCCATTGCACTGCTGATAATGCTGGGTCATCGGTCAGAACCAAAATAAAAACTGTTACCCTGCATTACCAGGGTACCAGTTTCCTCTACTAGCTCTAGATACCTCTAGGCTTAACTTGTGAGGGCATGCAAGAAAGCATCGCAGTCTTTTCAGAGGTACACATCGATAGCTTATTTTCCATGTTGAAAATGCGTTTACTAAATTCGATTTTCTCGTCATGTAGTAATGGATCATAAATAAACATATATCATGCACGTTCCCCCACCTGAGCGTCATAGCCAGATCTGAAGGATGTGCGAGGAGGACATGGTTAATATGAACTGACTTTGTGTCCGACACTGGCAGCTGTGTAAATAAGTTCATGACAGCTGCCAGCCCACTTCCAGCCATGTGTCCTATGCCGTACGTAACACGTGCCCAGGTGCCGGTTGAATACCCTTCGACCGGGCGGGCGGGGGTCAATTTGACCCCTTGAGATATCAAAAACTAAGAAAGCTAGAATTCACGAGGTGTATTAGCCTGTACGTGAACTCACTTGTGTCAAAATTTGAGATTTATAGGTTATGACCTTCAGGTCAAACAAGATCAAACGAGGTTGAGCTCCAGATGATGCCCAAAGTACTAACAGACCATACCACGCAACTACCGGGAACCTAGATACTTGTTTTAAGCCAACGGTCATTGGTGCTCATTTGAGGTCAGTGATCCTGTTTGATCTTTCAAGAGTCATGGTGACCAAAATCACACAAGACTGCTTCGATTTTTGCATTTGAATATTCGTTAAAGATTACGCTACGCAGATCACTCTTAACGCAAAATGTCGGCCTCGGGCAATTGATGTCAGCGGCCTATTCTGTCCTTTGACAAGCCCATGGAACATTACAACGCGCTTCCTATTATCAATTACAGCAAAATGAGCACCAGAATGCAACTCATACAGCAATCTGTCGAGTAAGAAAACGCGTTGGTTTTAGCCTTGTTCAAATCTTTATACCTGATCCTAGGTGAATGGAATTTGTTCATTTGATTGTTGCGCTGCCTAAGAAAGTATTTCAGAGATGTCAGGCTTCATTTAACACTCCGTTGTTGCATCCGACTGAGCAATCCCCTAAAAACTGTCTGCTGAATCCATGAGCCGAGTTTGACCCGCCGTAGGTCAAGGACCTTACAAGCTACATCTGAATTTTTATGCCAAAAGATTTGCTATTCAAATGTCTGTAACTATGCGAAATTTGGCGTGGCTACACTGCGCTGTCCAAAAATCATTCCCTAAACCCCTTTGAAGGGGTCCAGTTGACCCCGCCCCCCCCCCCCAGACCGCTTGTTAAAGGCAAACATATTGCCGAGGTTAACGAAGAAAATGACAGATCCGTGAAGGTATCACAATCCGTGGAGGGATTTAGAAGAATCATGATCAGTCTTCAATCTGGTCAGTGATAACGGTGCTGTTTATTGATAGCAGTGAGGAAATTCTTCCAGGTGGGTCAACCGGGACTGAGTTATTTCCCTGCTCTTTTTAGAACAGTTACATTACTCAGGATTTTGAACGTCACATACCTAAGAAAACGAACCATAAAACGTTGGCTGATGCCCTCCTAAATGTTAAGCATGATTGGCAAGCTTTAAGAAACCCATGGAGTGCGCGTCATGCCGTGAAAATGTCTATTGGTTAGGAGGATAATTTGATGCCTGGCATCAAATTATCAATTTCAATTTCTTTTATTGAAATTGATATTTTTATTTTATTGAAATTGACAATTTCTTGTACCTGTACCCTGGTAGGAAGCACGTATGGCATCGCTTAAAGTCGCAGGCAAAAGCCAATAGATCGTCAACCCTGCATGGATTCCATATCCTCCTTTATCCCAGCCACAAACGTCCACCCCACGACCCCCATCTGCTACTTCCCATCCCCCAATCGCTGAGGAGATTTGCCACCGTTCAGTGTAGCACTCGCACCATTTAAATAACAGTTGAGTGTATTTGAGGAGCTTCCTCGGACAGGATAAATGCATACTGGTAGCCTGAAGTCCCAGCATCTTGGGGTCAGGGGAAGGGACCAGATACGCGGTATGTTAGTGCCGTAGTGGGAGGATCCACAGTATGTTAGTGCCGCGATACGGGGAGATGCAGTGCGAGGCTGCCCGGCTGGCGTACTGCTGGCGTTGTGTCCGCATCGGCAAATGTTGGGCTGCACCGAACACATTAATGGCGTCATAGCAGCACAGGTACCGGCCGAGCCCTCCTACCTCTTTGTCGATACAGATACTTCAAGGCTAGAGCCAACACTTCTTTTATTTGCGTAAAGGACGAGATTCGTGATAAGGAATTATAGTTACGTTGCCGGGCATGACAACACATGGATTCAAATCTTGAGAATACTAGCAAGAGCTCTACATGCTCAATGCTAGTAAGCCTGCATACCATACGGAGTGTATGCACTTTGTAAACAGGAACAATCATGTACAATGGGCAAGTATTATACAAAAAGGCATAATGTACAACCATGTATGCAGGTATGTATGATGTACGTGTACACATGCACATATACATGTACAGCCACACATGGAGGCTTATGTATACATTCATGCACGTACTGTATACACAGTGTGCATCAGTATATATTACGCATACCAGCGTACAATGCTAGGCTATGAGTATATATTAGTACACTTATCAATGTACGAAAGCCTCAGAAAGCAACAGACAAGGACTGTTACCGATACAGCCGGCAGAGGTGTGAGGGTGTGACACTGACCGGTGCCGGTACTGTCGGCAGGACTGTGAGGGTGTGACACTGACCGGTGCCGGCACAGTCGACAGAGGACTGTGAGGGTGTGACACTGACCGGTGCCGGTACTGTCGGCAGGACTGTGAGGGTGTGACACTGACCGGTGCCGGCACAGTCGACAGGGGACTGTGAGGGTGTGACACTGACCGGTGCCGGCACAGTCGACAGGGGACTGTGAGGGTCTGACACTGACCGGTGCCGATACTGTCGGCAGGACTGTGAGGGTGTGACACTGACCGGTGCCGCTTCTGTCGGCAGGGGTGGAGGGTGTGACACTGACCGGTGCCGGCACAGTCGACAGGGGACTGTGAGGGTGTGACACTGACCGGTGCCGGTACTGTCGGCAGGGGTGTGAGGGTGTGACACTGACCGGTGCCGGTACTGTCGGCAGGGGTGTGAGGGTGTGACACTGACCGGTGCCGGTACTGTCGGCAGGGGTGTGAGGTTGTGACACTGACCGGTGCCGGTACTGTCGGCAGGACTGTGAGGGTGTGACACTGACCGGTGCCGGTACTGTCGGCAGGGGTGTGAGGTTGTGACACTGACCGGTGCCGGTACTGTCACCAGGGGACTGTGAGGGTGTGACACTGACCGGTGCCGGTACTGTCGGCAGGGGTGTGAGGTTGTGACACTGACCGGTGCCGGTACTGTCGGCAGGACTGTGAGGGTGTGACACTGACCGGTGCCGGTACTGTCACCAGGGGACTGTGAGGGTGTGACACTGACCGGTGCCGGTACTGTCGGCAGGACTGTGAGGGTGTGACACTGACCGGTGCCGGTACTGTCACCAGGGGACTGTGAGGGTGTGACACTGACCGGTGCCGGTACTGTCGGCAGGACTGTGAGGGGTGTGACACTGACCGGTGCCGGTACTGTCGGCAGGTGTGTGAGGGTGTGACACTGACCGGTGCCGGTACTGTCGGCAGGACTGTGAGGGTGTGACACTGACCGGTGCCGGTACTGTCGCAGGACTGGTGAGGGTGTGACAACTGACCGTTGCCGGTACTGTCGGCAGGGGTGTGAGGCTGTGACACTGACCGGGTGCCGGTACTGTCGGCAGGACTGTGAGGTTGTGACACTGACCGGTGCCGGTACTGTCGGTCAGGACTGTGAGGTGTGACACTGACCGGTGCCGGTACTGGTCGGCAGGGGTGTGAGGCTGTGACATTGACCGGTGCCGGTACTGTCGTCAGGACTGTGAGGGTGTGACACTGACCGGTGCCGGTACTGTCGGCAGGGGGTGTAGGCTGTGACCCACTGACCGGTGCCGGTACTGTCGGCAGGACTGTGAGGGTGTGGACACTGACCGGTGCCGGTACTGTCGGCAGGGGGTTTGAGCTGTGACACTGACCGGTGCCGGTTACTGTCGGCAGGACTGTGAGGGTGTGACACTGACCGGTGCCGGTACTGTCGGCAGGGGTTGTGAGGCTGTGACACTGACCGGTGCCGGTACGGTCGGCAGACTGTGAGGGTGTGACACTGACCGGTGCCGGTACTGTCGGCAGGACTGTGAGGGTGTGACACTGACCGGTGCCGGCACTGTCGGCAGGGGTGTGAGGCTGTGACACTGACCGGTGCGGTACTGTCGGCAGGGTGTGAGGCTGTGACACTGACCGGTGCCGGTACTGTCGGCAGGACTGTGAGGGTGTGACACTGACCGGTGCCGGTACTGTCGGCAGGGGTGTGAGGCTGTGACACTGACCGGTGCCGGTACTGTCGGCAGGACTGTGAGGGTGTGACACCGACCGGTGCCGGTACTGTCGGGCAGGGTGTGAGGCTGTGACACTGACAGCCGTTGCCGGTACTGTCGCAGGACGTTGAGGTGTGACACTGACCGGTGCCGGTACTGGTCGGCAGGGGGTGTGAGGCTGTGACACTGACCGGGTGCCGGTACTGTCGGCAGGACTGTGAGGGGTGTGACACTGACCGGTGCCGGTACTGTCGGCAGGACTGTGAGGGTGTGACACTGACCGTGCCGGTACTTGTCGGCAGGGGTGTGAGGCTGTGACACTGACCATGTCCGGTACTGTCGGCAGGACTGTTGAGGGGGTGACACTGACCGGTGCCGGTTCTGTCGGCAGGGGTGTTAGGGTGTGACACTGACCGGTACCGGTGCGTCGCCAGGACTGTGAAGGGTGGTGACACTGACCGGTGCCAGTACTGTCGGCAGGGGTGGAGGATTGGACACTGACCGGTGCCGGTACAGTCGGTAGGGGTGTAAGGATGACTACTGACCGGTTCCGATGGTGGCACTGCGGCAGGGGGCCTGGCGCTGGCTGACCCGATGCAAGGAGATGGGGTCCAGCGAGGAGGCGGGCCGCATGCTGCCCAGCTGACCCAGCTCGGCTGCGCTGGAGTGGTACTGCCTGTCCCCGCCCTGTCGGCACAGCCGGCGGTCAACCTGGCATCTACCCCACACCACAAGGTAGCAGGGACACTGCAAGATAGCGGAGCTGTCTAGTCGGTCACGGGTGTGCTTTAGAAACAATCTTGTGCCTCGGTTACCCGTGTGGTAGAATCTTCCATCAAGATAATCATACATCAAAATGAACGCGTACTGTGCATTCTAAAACTAAGCATTGTTTTCTAGTGCAGTCCTGCATGTATCGTGGGCTCTCCGACCCCAAAAGGTCCTAGCCGGCATTCGGAAATTTGGGGCCATTTTCTGCCGTAGCACAGAAAATTATGACAATAGGTCAACTAAATACGAATATATTTTTGGAGACATTCTACCGTGAAATACGCTTTTGATTCGCGCCAACTGCGTTGAACACAGAGGATATCACCCGACGGGTTTTCAGGCGATTTTCTTACGCAGAATAAGCATGATCGCCTATGAAAAACAGGTGATCTCTTTAACTTTTACTCGCATTTGACAGTTAACTGTCCCTTTAACCTTCTTCGTAAAAACACGTAGACAAGGTAAACACTGCGGCAGATTGAGAATCCCCGCGTTTTCAGCTGCATTGCCATTAAGTTGACAGCTCTTTGTGACAACCAATAACATTGGGCTCGCTATGGCTCGCTATGGTCTCATAATATCATATGGTCTCCAAAGGGTCACTAGAACCTAGAAAGCTCTCCTAAGCAAAAGGTCACATGCTCGTCTAAGCTCAGTGACCCTGTTTGACCTTTTAAAGATCATATTGACTTAAGTCTCACAAGACCGCTTTGAGTTTTGAGTTGGGATAGGCGACAAAGATTACGCCAGGCAGTATGTACCTAAAAACAAAAAGGTTGACCTCAGTCATTGTAGGTCAGTGACCTATTCTGACCTTTAAAAAGTATGTGGAGGGTGTGGTGTGCGGTTCCTGTTGTCGATAAATTCAACATGAGCACCAGGACCTACCCAATACAGCAACCGCTAGAGTAATAAAACAGGTTTGTTTTGACCTTGGTCTGGCGTTTATACCTGACCCTGGGACAATGTTATTAGTTCATTCAATTGCTGTGTCGCCTAAGAAAGTATTTCATAGCTGTATGGCTTCGTCTAACAACCCCTTGTTGGACCAGATTGAACGATTCCCTAAAATTGCCTTCACTGAAGCCATGATCTGAATTTGACCTGTCATAGGTCAGCGAAATTGCAAAGAAAATATAAATGTTTATCTCAGACGCCCCGCTACTCAATTATCTACGAGGCAAAATTTGGTGCGGCCACGCCGCGTCGTTCGGTAACCATTCCGGAAAAATATTCGGGGGTCAAATTGACCCCCTCCCCAAAGTTTTTTTCCAGAATGGTTTCCGAACGGTGTGGCGTAGTGGCGCCAAATTTTCCATGCTGCAGACAATTGAATAGCAGATCGTTTGACCTAAAAAATTAGATGGACCTTGTAAGGTCGCTTATCTATGGCAGGTCAGAATCAGGTCATGGTTTCAGCGAAGGCAATTTCTATGGAATCGTTCAATGCGATACAACGGAGTATTTGACCAAGCCATATATCTCTGAGATGCCTTTTTTGGCACCACAAACATTGAATGAGCAAATTACGTTGACCTAATGTGAGGCATTAAGGTCAGGCCAAGGTCAAAATCAATCTGATTTATTACTCTGGTGCTTGCTGTATGGGATAGTTTGTGGTGCTCATTTCAAATTTATTGACAGCAGGAACCGCATTATAAATCTTCCATTGACTTCTTAGAGGTCAGAACAGGTTATTGACCTAACATGCCCTGTGTCGACATTTTGTTTTAGGGACATACTGCCTAGCGTAATCTTCGTCGCTCATTCAAATGCAAAACCCAGAGCAGTCTTGCATGATTTTGGTCACCATGACCTTCAAAAGGTCAAACAAGGTCACTGACCTCAAATGGGCTTATGAACTTTTGCTTAGAGACAGTTGCCTAGATTCTGGGGGCACTTTGGAGACTAACCTGGAATTTGACCTTGTATGACCTTATTTGACCTGAAGGTCATAACCTAGGAGCCTGATACTTTGGACCTAAGTGACTTTACGTACAGGTCAAGACACCCTGTAAATTTGGTGTCTTTAGCTCCCTTAGTTCCCGAGATCTCAGGCGGGTCAAATTGATCCCCCTACCCGAGCGGAGGGTATCTAGCCGGCCACCCGGGCGCGTGTTAAGTGTCATTTGAGGAGTCATCCAGCAATACATAAGACAGGTTCGGCCACTCAAACGTAGCCAACACACCTCAACATATCTATCCTACTGTTTAGGCCATGATGCCGTCACGATCTCTCCACGGAGAGCCCGTGACCACCGAGCCCACGCGGCGGGAGCGGCTGGCACCGAGCCCTCGCGGCGGGAGCGGCGGACGCGGAGCCCTCGCGGCGGGAGCGGCCGATGCTGAGCCCTCGCGGTGGGGGCGGCCGACGCCCAGCCCACCCGGCGGGAGCGGCTGACGCCATGCCCACGCGGCGGGAGAGGCTGACGTCGAACCCACGTGGCGGAAGCGGCTGATGCCATGCCCACGCTGCGGGAGAGGCTGACACTGAACCCGCGCCGCGGGAGAGGCTGACGCCAAGCCCACGCGGCGGGAAAGGCTGACGCCGAGCCCCGCTCCGTTGGTCGCTGGTTACCGTCTCTGAGAGCCGCTGGCTGCTGAGTCGGGGCGACGCCGGCGGCGGCTCGTCCAGCAGGTGGACGCGCAGGTCGGGCGCGCTGTCCGAGGCTGGCGTCAGCGGGCGCGGTTGCGTCGCTTCCTCGGGCACGGCCAGACGGCTGAAGGGCGGCGCGACGTCCGGCGCCGCCGGTCCGCCGTCGGCCGCTGGCGCCCTGCCGGCCGACGGAGGCGTGTGAAGACGTGCGGCATTGTTGAGTGGGGACGGGGCGACGACATGGGACCGGAGAGACGGCTCACGTGCTGCTTGAAACAAGGAGGTGTCGAAAGGCGAAGAGGACATCCTCTGTTCAGCTTTAATATTCGAAATGACTCCACCGTCTTGACATTGTACGTTAAAAGACAGAGCTTACGGTCGATATTGCACTGCGGTGAGTGTGATACCACTCTATCACGCAAAACGCTGGTGGCGACGAATCCGTGATCCATAATGGCGACGAATGTGCGATGCAAGAAATATAAGCTATGGACAAAGAAATACAGCAGGAATATGAGGAGCATAGCAAGCATGTAAATAGCACAAACACTCCTAATCCGTCGGCAGCCAGCCCCCACACGGCATGAATGAAAAGCTCGTATGACGTCGTGGCCCTCAGATCGGCCGGGCCATCGCTCCCGGCGCCGCCGGCGCCTCGCCAAACAGAGGCGCGTCCGGCGGCCTCCGGTCCGACGCAGGGCGTCTTCGGCGAGGGACGTTTCGAACGTCTCGTACAGCGTGTGGTGAGAACAGAGCGTGACATTGTCAAACCTCACTTCCCCGGGAGTAGCTTCCGACCACGGCAGTTTATGAACAGTTCAGAGACCATTCCAGTAGCAGGGAGTCCAGTTTGAGCCGCCCAAGCCGCTCGAGTACCCACGAAATGTTGGCCGACTTCCTGAGTTCGGTGGCAATTTTTTGTGAAGGCTTATGGCTTTTCTGATTTAGTTATTTGTGCTGCAATGGCACCCCTACATGCTATAATAAGGCGGTATTATATATGTGAGTGAACGTTATCTTCAAAGATATTTTGGTTGCCAAAGGAAATCCTGCTGTTCATCACTGGCATACACATCGGAATACTGCATTGAACTGCCTGACATGTTGCTTTGTGGTAGCATCGAAGGTGCGAATAGCTCGTCTCATAACATCGGTGACAGAAAAACCTCGTGGATGTTGCCAGCAAAAACAGGTCAGGGTGTTGAAATGGGCTCAATGGGCCCAAAACCAAGCCACTCTTTCTCGCTTGATGGCGACGATGCATTACTGAAAATCGATGACTACGCTGATGTAATAGCTCGTGGACACATGCCTCACTTTCATCGGCATGAGCTGTGTTACCGTGTCGTCCACGTCAGCCGGCGTGACAGGCGAAACAGATTGCTGCGGTGATAGCCACATTAACCGTAGTGGTAGTGAATACTAACCAAGGGCTTGCAACCAGGCGAAATGGTTTGGGAACAGAGCTTCGCATTGCGTTTGATCGTGCGCAAAACTCATACGCATAGCTGTATATAGCGATTATATGCACGACATTTCGTGGTACGCAGATTTCCATAAATGCAAATCTTCACACGGTTCAACATTCGCAAAACAATGTTTTCTGCCTGTAAAACTATGTATATGCGACATGGTACGCGGTATACGCAGCACTAAGTTCGCATTTCTTCGCATGCACATTGCTTCATTCTGAACTTCTTCGTGTGTGCCATTTATACCGTACAAAATTTTTCATTTTGCGTCTTTTTAATGCAACCCTTTGCATCGCATTTCTTTGTATACATACTTTTTTGTACATACTTTGTATACATGCGTTCTTCATACAGACTTCGTATACATGCTTTCTTCATACATACCGCATTTCTCTGCGTGCTTAATTCCTAGCACAGGGTTCCTCGGACACGCAATTATTCGCTACATTGGCCCATTCACTTCATTTTATTCCGTTTATTCAAGTTTACAATTGCCCGGCCGAGCGGTTCAAATGCGTTTGGGTCAGGTAGGGCGTATACTACAGGTAGGGCGTGTACGTCAGGTAGGGCGTGTATGTCAGGTAGGCCGTATGCGTCAGGTAGGGCGTGTAGCGTGTACGTCGGGTAGGGCGTATACGTCAGGTAGGGCGTGTACGTCAGGTAGGGCGTATGCGTCAGGTAGGGCGTGTACGTCAGGTAGGGCGTGTACGTCAGGTAGGGCGTGTACGTCAGGTAGGGCGTATGCGTCAGGTAGGGCGTGTACGTCAGGTAGGGCGTGTACGTCAGGTAGGCCGTATGCGTCAGGTAGGGCGTGTACGTCAGGTAGGGCGTGTACGTCAGGTAGGGCGTGTACGTCAGGTAGGGCGTGTACGTCAGGTAGGGCGTATACGTCAGGTTGGGCGCATACGCCAGGCAGGGCGTGATGCGTGTCAGGTGTATTCCTTGAGCCAAGGCATCTCATTCCTTCGGTTGAGCACCTATTGGTACTTCATGTTTTTTGCGTGGTCGCACGCGCGGGTGTAAGCCATGAGCATATCTTGCTGGTTTGTTTGCAGGTACTACTACCGCATTCTGGCAACTGGTGAGGCGAGGAAAATGGCGAGGGAAGTGCTTCAAAATATGTCCTACCAAAGCTTAAGGGGGTTGCATCGAACCCCCCCCCCCCCCCTCCGACTATCCAGGCGAGTTGCTCAACGTGTGCTGGCTCCAAAGTTGCGCTACAAGTGAGGAAAAGTTAGATTTGCTGGTTTGCCATGGATACCCGCGGTGATGATGATAACGTCACTCAAAAATTATCCACGAAGATGACGTAAAAGATAAGGTAAATGATTAAATGTCGGTCCGGCTTTCACGTGTATGGTCGCTAAACGCCGTGTGCCATATTCCCTGTGCGGTGCTTAATAACTAGATGCTCGCTAATTGGCTTAAAGTAAGTACGGCAGCTGCAAATGGCCTCCCTTCGTCTGCACACCTCTTGACCTTGCAAGTTGGTTTTAACAAGTATAGCAGCGAGTGGCGGGTTTAGTGAAGGGACGCGCGGAACATGTGCCCCTAGCCAAACTCGGGTAAGATCCCTCCGTGCGCAATGGGGAGAGGACAAGATTTTCTGTTGAATCGGTGCATGTCTTCCATAGCGACCCAAGACAAGTTATCAGGGTTGATGGGTGAAAATTTAGAATACTTAAAACGCATACATTGTTCAGATACATGCGGAAACCCCAAAACAGCAAACAACAAAAGATCCGGGTTACCGATACTCATGGCTATGGGTTCGAGGCATTTTGCTCTATCCGTGAAGAGCTGATGGAATATTTTCTAGAACTGCTCGATAAGATTGAAAACCACTGTCTCCAGACATTTACAGCTGCATTTCCCGGACGTTTGGAGTCCGGTTTCATGGATGCGGTGTTGTGTGATTGTGGGATGTTCGTGACGCGTTGGCTTGAATGCCAAGTGCACCACCAACCGAGCTATAGCGACAGCGGGCAGACTTCAACAGAGAGTTATGCCATTCAAAAGCTCCAAAGAAGCGCCTATACGGTCAAAATCAAAACATTCACGTGAAGCTATAGAAGTGTAGCGTGGGCGGGCGGCCTCTCTGGTGCGTTCCTGGCTGCCTAGGTGTCGGGGGCAACCACTGGCCGACCGTGGTGCGTTTCTGGCTGCCTAGGTGTCGGGGCAACCACCGGCCGACCGTGGTGCGGTCTCGGCTGCCTAGGTGTCGAGGGCAACCACCAGCCGACCGTGGTGCGTTCCTGGCTGCCTAAGTGTCGGGGCCAACCACCGGCAGACGGTGGTGCGTTCCTGGCTGCCTAGGTGTCGAGGGCAACCACCGGCAGACGGTGGTGCGTTCCTGGCTGTCTAGGTGTCGGGGCCAACCACCGGCAGCGAGTGGTGCGGTCCCGGCTGCCTAGGTGTCGAGGACAACCACCGGCAGACGGTGGTGCGGTCCCGGCTGCCTAGGTGTCGAGGACAACCACCGGCAGACGGTGGTGCGGTTCCGGCTGCCTCGGTGTCGAGGGCAACCACCGGCAGACAGTGGTGCGGTCCCGGCTGCCTAGGTGTCGAGGACAACCACCGCCAGAGGGTGGTGCGGTCCCGGCTGCCTAGGTGTCGAGGGCAACCACCGGCAGAAGGGGGGGGGGGGGGTGTTCCTGGCTGCCTGGGTGTCACGGGTGACCGGCCAGCTCGTGCCTGTCGGAACTGCCGGGTCGAGGCACCGAACGAACGAGTGGCGAGGCGTCGGCAGACCCTGGGGTGGGTCGCCGGCGTGGGCTGTGAAGTGGATGCCCTTGTGGATACGAATATTTACGTACGACTTTTCGTGCCACGGGATTTTCAATGCGAAAAGTGTGCATGGAAATTTGATAAGGAAGGTATACGTACAAAGCTTGCCATAAAATAGCTGCGATGTAAAGGTTCGTCTACATTGTTTTCCTTCAAAGTATTGCCTGCAAAAAAACTGCGATGTGACCATCTGCATACGAAGCTCTGCGTACAAGGAATATGGTACCAAATACGCCTAATATGAAGTTTTATCCGACTGCGGGGTGCAATTATCGACAACAGGTGCGTAATACAGTCTGCGCTCTTCGCGTATGATGTCTCAACGTTATGGTTAGACATCCGCAAAGGCCGTCTCCCCCGCGCGAGTAAATGTCCTAAATACAATGGCTGGTTGTAGATATGTTAGGATCGCGATCTCACTTGTTTGGCTCGCGCCATTAACAATAAATTGCCAGGTTTAAGGAACATTGGCTGATCTGCCAGTTATGCTCATTTGACTCAGCCATGAGACACCACTGATAACAAAGGAGTTCATTGACGCAAAGATCATGAATCAAAAACGCCGCCATCGGAGAAAAAAAAACATAACCAATTTTCTTTTGCGGTACGATCCCATTAGTTTTGATAATCTGAACACATCGAGTGCTGGAGTGTCTACAGCGCCGCACGCATCACGTGATCCCGGTCCATTGTGCCTGGCTGCGTACGGATATCCTGAACTTCTCTGTGGGACGTTTGGATGGAAATCTGGACACCTGCAATTACATGGCGTAAGATTCCCAAAATGCGTCCTTCTGGAGTGACGGCCCACCCGTGGCGTGCAGAACACTTTGTGTTTGGGTTTACGTGACGCTGCAAAGGAGTGTCACGCCGCAGACTCTGGCTCACCCGGTCACCAGCCGACCTCACCCCTTCTGGGGTCAGAACGGTACAGAGCGCGCGGACCCGGTCACCTCAAGGCAATAAGCTCCGCGGTCAGCGTGCCCGCCAGCTGTCTGTGAACCTCCCGCGTCCCTCAGACGGGGAGGCAGCAGGAGAGTCGGCGTGCTCGCCAGCTGTCTGTGCAACTCCCGCGTCCCTCGGGCGGAGAGGCAGCAGGGGAGTCGGCGTGCCCGCCAGCTGTCTGTGAACCTCCCGCGTCCCTCAGACGGGGAGGCAGCAGGAGAGTCGGCGTGCTCGCCAGCTGTCTGTGCAACTCCCGCGTCCCTCAGACGGAGAGGCAGCAGGAGAGTCGGCGCCGCGGGAATTGTTGGCGACGTTGATCCGGCGCTTTGAAGATTGATGGGTCGGCTACGAAATCTCTTTTCCTGAATTTCCGACTTTGATCCATGTTATTTCACCGGCTTAGAGCCAAGCAAACGCAGCTTACGAAGTTTCACACAGAGTAACCGAAATAGAATAGCGTGGCGGATAGGTGAGGGAAAATCTCAACCAGCCTTAGAATATATCAGCAGCAGGAAGACCATGGTCACGCCATATATTACATACAAAAGGGCTTTCGCTTCGTCGCAACATAGTATGAGCATGCAGGATGGCGTGAACAACCAGAGTCGTCCTGAAATGTGCAGCAGTGTCGGAAACGCCCGCGTGGCTAGTAATGGTGTGTCGAAACCTTTGACTGTGGGGCAGTCGTGCCGGACCAGAGCGTGAGCCGGACAGTGCCTCACTACTCAAACCAGCACATCGCGAGCAAGCCGGCAGCGTTTGGAGCAGATCCTCAGCTGTACGGGACGGCGATCTGCACAGGGCCACGACAAGGGCAGGTCATACGGCATAGCTCAGCCTCGGAGCTGGAGAGAAGGTTACGGCTGCCCAGCGGAACATCGGAGTCAGAGAAACGGCTGCAGCTGCCCAAAGCAGGGCAGCTGCAGCACAGCATAGCTGCCCTGCTGCTCAGGTAGACATGTCCTACTAACCACCATATAGCAGCATGTTGCTCTGGATGGATTTTCTTGACAGCACCAAGTGTCCCAGCGTGACATTTCAATTTGATACGCACATGAACTCAGTTGACGCTCCTTTGCTCACTCAGTTTAGGACGTAATGCAAGTGCTCACAGTAATAGACGTGAAATCGCATTAGGAGAATTCCTTAGAAAAAATATCAGCTAAATATGAAGATCGGTAAAAAGCAGGTGGTGCTGCTGCACTTCGACGCTTCTGAATGTGGGAATTTAACGCGGTCGTTTTTAAATCGTGGAATCCTGCAGCATCGCGGAGCAATAGGATCATTGGGTCACGATTTAATATACTTACACCGAACATGCACACCGACTGAAAGGAGGGACCTTATCGTGACGAACAGTGAAAACTGACGAGTGTCTGGATGAGACTGCCAGGTTTAGGTGTGACGTCAGACATCATTCAGCGAGCGCCCCGAGCCGCGCTGTGACCGCAGTCAGCGTCCAATTTCAGCACTCTGAACACCTCAGGGCCTCTCGGGGGTTGTTATTTGGATTGCATTGTACGCCACAAATTACAGTCTGGGGATTACGACGAATATCTGATTTTGCTCCGACGAGCGAACGTATTGCTTTAGGCTTGATCCAGCATCCAATAATTTCAACTTGGGCTCAATCACTTCAGCTGGGGCCTTTAGCATGTTCATACACGTTAAGCCTCTCCATCCGTTGCCATCAGTTACACTGTTGATTGAAAGATCATAATAACACGGATTTCAGTTCCAGTTGGTTTATATGAAAAGAACGTCTATGACACATCATATGGTGGATTCGTGTGTGACACCTTGCACGGTTTTGGACGTGCGCGGCAATAATGTGCCCGCGCCACACATACGGGGATAACAGTAACCCTGCACTGCCTACATGATGCAACGATGTAGCTGGTGTTCCCGCCCATCCCGTCTTTAACATTCAATGGCGGAACTTCAACTGTGGAATAATTTGCTAGTGAAATAATTCGCTAGTGGAATAATTCGTCGTCAACAATTCAGCATTAACCAACCTCTAAAACGAACCTAACACGGTTGTCACTGTTTGATTATGCATGGTAGCCCATGCGGTAGGGGTCCCCACAGAGTCGAGCGCTAGGTTTCTAAACAAGCTGTACATCCGACAGCACTGCCTGACCGTCGTCGGTCCGAGTTCACGATCAGCAGTACACACCAGAAGTTAGAGCCGCCGGCGGGCGGCCGCCTGACTCACGTGATGTGGGGCGACTCGGGCGGCTGTTCCGTGGCCCCAGTAAGAGCTTCGGCTTCCTCTTCGGCCGCCTCGTTCGCCTCCGGTGTCGGCGTCAGCGTGGAGGCGCTGCCACGACGACCGCGCAACGCGCCGGCCGGCCGCCCGCGGCCCTTCCGGAACGAGCGGATGCTCTGGCGGAACGACTGACGCGCCCGGCCGACTGCAGCACGCGGCCAACAGTCACCGACACGGTCACCAGCGCAGGAGACGGTTATCAGTCACCAGCCCGGGACACTGGCGCGCCCGGCCGACTGCAGCACGCGGCAAACAGTCACCGACACGGTCACCAGCGCAGGAGACGACAATCAAGTCACAGCCCCCACCAGCGCAGGAGACGATAATCAGTCACCAGCCCGGAACACTGGCGCGCCCGGCCGACTGCAGCACGCGGCAAACAGTCACCGACACGGTCACCAGCGCAGGAGACGGTTATCAGTCACCATCCCGGGACACTGGCGTGCCCGGCCGACTGCAGCACGCGGCAAACAGTCACCGACACGGTCACCAGCGCAGGGCACAACAAACAGTCACTAAGGACATGAATGTCGTTCTGGTTCGCCAAGAGCATAAGGCAAGCCATGGATTTGATTTCTATTGGCATGACTTAAGAGTTCTGTAAACGCAGCAGACTCTCCAAGACCATACGGGTTCTTCACGAAATAGCTTCCGTATAGAGGCTTGGGCAGAAGCAAGATTTTGCTGCAGTGGAGTCTCTAGTTTACCACAAGTACGCACCAGAGGCCAATCAGCTTCAGACATACCCACCTGACTTATTTGGTGACCCTAACTCCGTTAGCGATTATACAGGTAACACATTTAATTAGATCAATCTGCCATTCCATGAGGATCTATACACGACGCAACAAAACTGACTATTGATGTACAGGACTACTTCAGCTACTGCACGGCATGCCCAACCGCGAAGTGACATTTACCTCTTTAGCTTGAAAAGCTACATATGACAATGTTAACCTCGGCCAGATGGTGGCGAATGGCCAATCGGGCGATGGAGACCCTTCCCCGCTCCTTCCCTGAACCTCGAAAACTGGGGAAACGATTAATGGCTCCGTACAATTATGAGCATCAAGATAACTTCTCTCTACATTGATTTCGATGTTGTCATCACGTCAGATCACTGACCTCGGCTTTTGGGATGATGTGGGTGTGATACGTTGAAAAAAATATTTTAAGCAATTTGCCGGTTGCCTCATCCGCAACTAACGTGATTCACGATCAAGGATATCTTTAAGTTTTTACCAGCATAGTGCACTCCATAGTTCTTTTGAAAAGTAGTCCTGAGGCAAATCTACGCAGTGCACTGTATTGCGTCGTACGGCGCAAAAGCTTGTAGGTCGTAAAAATAGGTTTGGGAACTTTGCTTTTTAATTTCAGAAAACGTTGGTAATAGCTTTTCTGGAAGGATTCAAGTACTAAAATTGTCAATCCTTCACTATCAGGGTTTTCCAAGTTCGGATAGAATTGATGTCTGCCTTTGGGAAATGTTTGTTTGTTGTTTAAGTGTCGTGTACTGTTCACTTGCATTTTTTTCAGGCGAATTTTGAATTGAAGACCATCCACAACGTTATACCAACATGAGCAGTGGCAAGCCTTTGGTGTCCACCTAGCAAATCGAACTAATGCAAAGCATCATATTCAAAATTATTCATAAACGAAATAGCCCAAGTGTTTTATTTGGCTAGGAGGGCGGGTGTTAATAGATGTACGACTGTGAATGGCCACATTGCTCAGATATTTGGCATATTACAGGAAACATATATTTAGATTTATTTATCTATTCGTTCGCCTGCTGTACTACTATTTATTCGCCAAGCCCATATCTCCGCAGCCGTATGCCATAGGAGGCAGGCCGCACAAATGGCAAATGAATGCAAAAGGCTATACAATTTGGCGCTCGCAAAGTCCAAGGCTAGACGCAATGAGTGCACACCATTGTTAATGCCCAGAAGTTGCCATTACTAAAACAGGATAGCTTCGTTGATTCTACCGCAGTGGCGTACGCGTAGCGTACGCCACTGTTAAGCGTACGCGATAGAGTGCCAACAGAACGGACAGATCATCAAAGGATAGGTGCTTTAGAATGCTAATACAAGATTGGCATTAACATATTTGCACGCATCTTTATTGTTCGTAACCCCCTTCGCTCATGGTTATAACCGGATGGGAAATGTGATTATTGTCAGTGTACATGATGCCGGCAGTCAAGAAAGAGGGAACCGATATAAAATGTTACACCGCTGCATTCGAAGCATATGGCATTCAAAACCTGAAGCAAACGCTCCACCTTCTCCTCGCTACACTCAGCCTAATTGAGTGGAGCCGAACTTAACACACGCTCGGGTGGGGGGTCAAACTGACCCTCCCCAAGTTTGTTTTCCAAAACGGCGAGGCGCGGACGTGCCAAATTGTGCATACCTATAGACAATTGCATAGCAGATCGTGTGGCGCCAACAATTTTGATGTACCCTGTAAGGTCGTTGACCTGTGGCAGGTCAAAGTCAACCAATGGTTTCATCGACGGCAATTTGAAGGGAATCGTCCAATCTGACCCAACAACGGTTAGACAAAGCCATGATTTCTGAGATGCTTTCTTAGGTAGCACAACAATTAAATTGATATATTACATTGACCTAGGATTCGGTATAAAGGTCAGACCAAGGTCAAAACGAGCTTATTTTATGACTCTAGAGCTTGCTGTATGAGGCAGTTTCTGATGCTCATTTCGTACTTAGTGATATCAGAAACCGCAGCATGCACCTTCAATGGACTTCTTAAAGGTCAGAATAAGTCACCGACCTAAAATGACCCAGGTCAAAATTATTTTAGGAACATACTGTCTAGGGTTATTTTTCGCTTATTCAAATGCAAAACACAAAGGAGTCTTGCACGATTTTGGTCAACATCACCTTCAAAAGCTCAAACAATGTCACTGATCATAGATGAGCATGTAACCTTTTGCTGAGAACAGTTATTTAGGTTCAAGAGGCCCTTTGGAGACCATCCTGAAATTTAACCTTGTTTGACTTTATTTGACCCGAAGGCCATGGCCTTGAAAACTCAAACTTTTACCTAAGTGAGTTAACCTACAGGCTAACACACTCTGTGAGTTTGGTATCTCCAGCTCTCTTAGTTCTTGAGATCTCAGGGGGGGGGGGGCAAATTGACCGCCACAAGAGCGAAGGCTATCCGACCGGCCACCCGGGCACGTGTTAAGTTAAAAAGATGCTGCATGAAAGAATCACAGGTTATTTTTGAACGCCAGGCAGCAAATCGACTGATGCATTGTTAGTAACAAAATCCTTTGACTCTACCAAGTACAAACTGCCATCGGGCTGGGCCTGTGCTGCCCCGCTGCCAGGCCCGGTGAGGACCGTCTCCGGGTCAGTCAGTTCATCCCCACGCATGCAGACAGTGAGAGGGGACAATATGGTAACGTCAGACCGTGCTCCAGCATGGCGTCTAACCCCAGGTCAGCATAGCCCCACGGTCCAATCGGGACATCTCGTTTTTGTGATTGTGATTGCGATTTAGTTTGCAATTTTGACTTTACCGCACGTCCTTGCATGTCCGGGAATTGAGATCAGTACATCAGGGTCCTCCAATGTGACCATGTTTTCCGTTTGATGCGATCTGGCCAAAACTTCACCGAACGGCCACCTCATTCCATAGAAAGACAGGAGGGGAACGCTGACAATGTTTACTTCTGCTTCCAAAGGGGACACGTGAAGACGCCCGCAGTGGAAATACTACGTTGTGCAGTTCTTCTGCGATAGACAATACCACGTGAAGGCAAAAATGGGCCTTTCTCTACGCACAGCGGAATGATGAACAGGAGTGTGGCACAGCAGGCATAAAAACTCAAGGATGTGTACAGCTGTCCATGGACCATACGTTCTTTTGCTTTAGGGAGCCGGGGCACGACAAAGAACTGAAAAAGAATTAGCATGACCTGACTGGATAGCATTGCCCGAAGACGCAAGATGAAGGCATTCTCATCCAGGCAACAACTACACCGCCAGTCTATGTTTCGTTTGCTTGTCCCCACTTCACCTGATTCCCAGCCCTAACAAAGCAGAGGAAAGTCCCGTCTATAAAACAGCACCAACTCGAATCCAACATGCGCCGACATGTAGCCTTGACTGAAATGAGATAAGTTGGGCGATAAAAATGTCCAAACGAGACGATAAAGTCGACTTGTCTTCAGTGGCCTCGCAACAACCGGTGCGGAGTGGCCACGACCGGCGGCTGCCCGTCATGAGACATGGGCCCGGCTATCGAGCGGGCGACAGCGGCCCCGCGACAGCGCCGGCCGTCCCCTGACGCCCCCCCCCCCCCCCCCCCCCACCTCCCTCCGCTGCGTTCGTGACCGGGACGAAAGCCGCGTGACCGGCATGCAGCGCCCCTGGTGTCGCTGCTGGCCGCTGAGCGGGCCGCCGTCCCAGCTGGCGGTCTGCTGCCGGGACCGGTCCGCTCCTACGGCCGCCGCAGGCCGCTCACCCGGGACCGGAAGGCCGGCGTGCGGTCACTGAGAGCGAAACCCAACGGGTCGCTGACCCGCCAGCAGGGGACGAAACATGGGGTCATCTCAGAGTAGAGCAGGGTAATTCCGGTGACCTATCGCGGAGGCTTGGGCCGTCGCGATCGCGGCTCGGCAGAGCGAATTTATTGAATTGTATTGACACCTGGCTAGGAGACAGACATGCAAACCATACTAAGAAGAATGTGGTGAATTTTCACGGACTCATTAGTGAAACACTCATGCCTAGTAGTTAGTAACCTCGGCATGAGTGTTTCACCAATAAGTATATATATATATATATATATATATATATATATATATATTGTATCGACCATAGAGAAGCGCGATTGGCACATCTGTGGACAAGTCTCTCCCCTCACCGTCGCACTGATGGCATGCTCTCCAGCTCTTGCAGGCTCTGCGGATCATGCTCATGCGCCAGACTTTTAGATAGCCCTATATGGAAAGGCCCATGTGGTTCAATTCTGGCCAGTGGAGTTGCCATGGGTGCCGGCCTTTACTGACTGTCTGACTGTCCTGTCCGCACAGCGGTCATGTGCCCAGCTCAGGCCGCTCCGCGCTGGATGAGGTGAGGCGCCACCCTGATGAGGTCACGCGCTTGG